GGAATCCATGCCGGGAAGTTGAGCCTCGCAGTCCAGGGTTTGGGCGGTGACGAAGAAGCTGAGGAGGAAGCAGACCAAGAGGAAGAAGTAGGAGCACCGGAGGCCGCCGAAGCTGAAGAAAGTGATTCGGACAGTGAGGAAAGCCGGAGAAGGAAGGAAGCTCGCACGAAGAGGGAGCATGACGTCGTCACCTTGCTTCGTCAGCAGAACAGCATGATCGCCGAAGGTTTTGCGTTTATGAAGGCGCAGTTTGTCGCAGTGCATCAGAGGCTGGATCAGATTGAAGCCAGTTCTAGCCACAGAGACGAAGACGAAGAGGAGTCCGAAGAGGCCGAGGAGTCAGAGAGCGAGGAGTTCTAGTTGGTGTTACGGTAATCCTGTTCGCCTTTTTCCTTATTGTTTCCCTTCTTAGCCGTTGTTAGCTTGGTGGTAGGTTGTTGCGTGTGCTTTGTGCGCTTGCTTGTTTTTTTTTGTTGCCTTGTTGTTTAGCTAGTTTGATAGTGGTGTTTGGGGTTAGTAGTTTAGTTCTTGGTTGTTGTCTAGAAGTTGGTGGTTGTGTTGAGGCTAGAGTTCTTGATGCTCAATCTATCCGTTTGTTAACCTCTTGCCAATCCTTGAAATTTGAAATGCCTTCTTCTTTGCTTTAGAATCCTTGTGAGTTCTTTTGGAGTCTTTGACCAAAAGAGTTGTTCTTGAACTTCTTGTTACAACTTCGTTTCCTTTTCACCGTTTGCTTTTAATTCGTCGTACCCAAGCTTCGGGGACGAAGCCTCTTTGAAGGGGGAGAGGATGTGACACCCCAAAAATCCACATTCAATCCATGGATTAAGTGAGTAATTAATCCTATTGTATTTGAAGAGTTAATTCCTAAAATCCTGATTTTTAATACTCAAGGACTAGTATTTGACTAGTCAACCTTTAAGTTGTGTTGTACCTTGTGCTTTGAGGGGAGTTCCATTGTTCCTTACACTTTCTAAGGGTTAGTAAGGGTATTATTTTCTTTTCACCAAGAGTTAGTATTGTAACCTAACCTAGAAGACTTCTTCATTTCATTCCCTACAATTCTTAGAAATTAGTTCTACCTTCTCTCTAGAAAAGAAGTGTAGCTTATTCGCCATGACAAGTTGACCCCTTGTCAAGATTCCAAGATTTCCTTCCAAGATTCAACCTTTCACCTATTTGGGCATCTAGGAGGGTAAGATCTAAGTTCATCTTGTGTTTTTGGTTCCATCTTATGATCTTTTGGTTTAATCTTGAAGTGGGTTTAGAAAGTAAGCCTTGTGGAGAGCTTGTTGTGGTGTAAAGTGAAGTCTTTTGGTCTTCAAGAGGTAACCCATGCTCTACAAAACCTATTTTGCTTACCTATATGTGATTTCTTGGACTCTAGATGTGTTTTGCTATGAAATGTGAGGGTTTATGCATTTGTCTTGTGATATTGCATATCTAGAGCTTGTGTTTAGGGTTCCTTTGTGCCATTGCTTGGCATTTTCCATGGTTCAAGTCATTTTGTTGTGTTTGGTGAGATTTGGCATGTTTTGGACTTGAATTTGTGTTTGGAGAAGAAAATCCCCGAAAGGATTTGTGGTGGAACAGGAATGTTCCCGCGGGCGGGGCACCACCCGCCGGCCTACCCGCGGGTACATAGGCCTGGGGGAATGTGATCCCGCGGGCGGAACCACGGGTGGGGCACTACCCGTGGGTCCACCCGCGGGTACACGAGTGGAGTGGATCGGGATTTGTTCCCCGTGATTTGTTTGACTCGGTATTTGGTCTTTTGACTTCCCGTTGTTCTTTTGTGGAACTATTTGAGCGTCTTCTTGATGTTTCGTTCGTCTAGAACTATGTGGTAGGTATCCGTGTAGGACTTTGGTGTCTTGAATCGTGCTAAGTGTTCAACATTGTGTTTCATTGGACCAAGAGGTGTCTTGTGTGTTCCTCGGAACTATCTTGAGTTTCTCCGTTGTTAAGCATGCTAGTTTATTGTGTTAATGCTAGCGTGTGTGTGGTTTGTACCTTCCGTTTGGTTGATGATAACTTGTGTTATTCATCGTTGTTGTCGTTGGGCTGTGACCCGTTCCTTGATTGAGTATGTTTCATACCTTCGTTGTGATCCGTTGTTTGACTCTTGTTGAGTTGTGGTGCGTGTGTGGCTTTACCTGGATTGCACGATTAGTGGTATGGGACACTAGTCACGAAGGTCTTGCAGCGGCCCTCGTGGTGGCCGTGACGTGATTATGGAGTTGAGGCCTGAGTGATGGGTCCACGTTTTTGGGGGATAACATGTGTTATCCGGGCATGTGTTGCCGTGAATTGGTGATTTCGTTGGTGGTCGTTGGAGGGGGACGACGGTCCCGGGGGAATAAGGTTGGACTAAGAAGTACAGGGGTCCTGGAGGTAATGGTTGGAAAGAAGGTACAAGGTTGGGCATAGCCATAAGGTTGGAACAGGGCATAAGGAAGGCATACCAACTCGTGCTGGGTGATGTTGCGAGGGCTTGTAAAGCCGGCGTTGTGTGATCTTCTCTCGTGACATGTGTAGTCACGGAGGCTTGTGTTGTTTTGGCATGTGTTGCCGTTGGGTGAGTCTTTATCCTTTGCGTGTGGTTAACCTTTGTGGTTTGGGATGTGTCCCTGTGTTATCCTTGTGAGTGATGAGTCTTGTGTGGACTGTTGATCTTAGTTTTGACTTATATATATGTATTCTGTTTCGAAAATGGTTTTTATGACTTATATCTATCTATATATGATACTTAACGGTATTGGTGGGTTACCAGCATTATTCGCTGACCGGGCGTCGTCCCAATGTTTATCTTTGTATGTTTCAGGTGATGTTTAGACGAGCGCGATGTCTAGAGCCTGGTAGCTTAGCACCCTTATCCTTGCTTTTGTGGCATGTGCGCCAATGTAGTTAGACTGATGTTTTGGGATAGATGTATACACTTGCAGATTGTTTGCCGTAACGTTTACCGTGTTTGGTTGACGTGGCGTGACACCTCGTTGGATTTCCTTTATCCAGTTTCGTTTTATCTTCCGCCGTGCTAGTTTTGTCGTTCAATCTGCATGTGTTAAGGCTTTTATATAGTCTTGTTTGGGGGGTATTACAGTTTACGTAATATTTTTTTCTTAAGAAATTCATGTCTATTTGCAAAATAAAGCCTGATGCATTGAAGTATAATTGCTTGGAAATTGGAATTTACAGTGTTAATTTAAACAAATGAAATTACTAATTTACAGTAATTAATATATTTCGTTATTTTCTTTTAAATCGCGATTGGCCCCCCGGATTCTTTAGTCCTAGATTCGCCCTTGATCGCAAATTTGGTGCCTTCTTATGAGGTAACTAATATGTTCTGAATGTTGATTACTAACCATGCACCACTTTCTAATCCATTGCTACATCTCTTGTGGAATATAGTTTTGTTGTTCATGCAGACTGGTCATGTTGTTATTGTTGTTATTGTTTTTTACATTTTTTAATAAATAAATATATAAGCTGCCCCAAATTTTGTAAAATTTTCACTCTTCAATAATAACACTAAACTGATTGTCGTTGTCCTTACTTTTGATGAAGCAGAGTAGTAGATTATGTTAGGAACACATGTATTATAGGATTTTGATGATACCAATGTAATTTAGAAGTAAACCCTAACTTTTTGTCGTTTATTTAGTTACCTTCGTTTTAGACGAAAGGTACCGTAACTCACCGTGTAATTCGTGTTAAGCTAGTCAAACACACGAAACCGAGTTATGATCTTTTATTTAGGTTTAGTTGAATAGAACTTCATCTCAGACGGACCACGAAAGGACAAATGATCTTCTACAACCGAAAGCAGAAGCCGAAAGAAGTCTTCTGATCAAGAGACATTATAACTAAAGCTCTGACTGCCAAGACAGTTCACCTTCTCTCAACTCAAGAAGAATGTTGTCAAATGTCTTATCTGATGATCATCCTAGGAATAAGCTTTCCTAAGTATGAGAGCACACTTATCAAGGTGCATTAAATGTCATAGTACCAATTTTCAGAGCTAGAAGACAAAACACTCAGGATTCCTTTACTCCAACGTCTATATGGTACAGCTGCATTTAATGAAGCAATAAATGCACAAGGCTCTCCGGTTATTATCCACTGGATCATAGGTTTGAAATGCCATCTCCCTCCAACGGATGGATTATTTCTCTCCTATAAATACCCATCTTCTCCTTGATAAAAGGTGATGGTTTTTAGAACAATTGAATACTCATACTCAAAAGCTCCTTATACAAGTTCACTCTCTCAAGCTTTTGAAAACCAGTGATTCAAGGTGTGAAGTTTACAAGAAGACGTATCTGATCTCATTCACTTAGCCTTGAAGAAGTCTCGCAATTTTGTATACATTGATTATCCATCAATTCACCAGCCAGTCAAGACTTCATCGTGTTGGAGAACCTCGAAGATTATTTACATCCAACCCTCAACTCTGAAGAAGACGTTGATAGTGGCGGAGTAAACTCTAGGAGTTGAAAAACCTTCAAGTAGCTGTCCGACTTAGTGATCAAGGAAGCTATCTTGGTGTAATTTGTACTAGGAGTGATAGTGCAAACCTTTCACAAGTTGTGAAAGAAGAGTGGAGTAGGCACAGTTGGCCGAACCACTATAAAAATCTCTTGTCTCTCTCTCTCTCTTTACTTTTCAGCCCTTTACTTTCGTGCATTGCATATCATATGACCTTGACCAAAAGCATTCTTAAAAGAGAAAACAGTGCAAAGCAACCTAAAATTTGAATTACTTATCTGATGCGTAATAACCCCGAAAGGAGTTATTTTCGAGAAAAACGAATTGAGTCTATTCACCCCCCCCCCCCATTCTAGACTCTCCTTTCGACCTTACCGGGACCAACAAGTGGTATCAGAGCAGTTACCTTGATCGGTAAAAGCTTTGCCTTTACTGCTTGGTAGATCCCCTCTTATAAAAGTTTAAAAATCTGCATCTTTTCGTCTTTGCACTAGTTTTTCATAAAGAAAATGGAGAAGGATCATTCTAACCGATCTAGGCCTCTTGCCTTCAATCTCTCTAAATTTGATGATTGGAAAGTGAGAATGCAGGCACATCTATCGGCCATTCACGACGAAATGTGGGATGTAATAATCACAGGACCTATCACTGTTATGATGGTGAACACTCAAGCTGATGCACAAGGAGCTGACGCAGAACCCATGATACCAAAACCGAAGTCTCAGCTCAACTATGATGAGAAAACCCGAGAAAACCTGGACAACGTTGCTCGCGATATCCTCTACAAATCTCTGGACGACTCGTTGTTCCCGAGAGTTCGTAAATGCAAAACAGCAATGGAAATCTGGAACGTTCTCATGAATTTGGGAGAAGGAAAAGAGCAGGAGAAAGACAATAAACCCACGATGGTCATGAAGAAGTTTGAAGAGTTCAAGATGATTCCTAACAAAGCTATCACTGATATGGAGCTCAGATTCACTAAGCTCATGGGTGATCTCTCGGACCTCGGAAAGGAGCTCACTGGAAAGGAGAAAAACTTGAAGATTCTTCGAGGACTCCCGAAATCGTAGGATATGAAGGTCACCGCAATGAGAGATCATCGAGACATGAAAACCACCAACACAAACAAAATCTTCAGTGATCTGAAAGCATATGAGTTCGAGCACGAATCGAAGGAATTGGAAGAACCCGAGATCATAAATGTAGCCTTGATGGTCAACCAACAAGCATCGACGTCAAATAGGTCAACTTCTAACTCTTGCAATTTTTTATCTGACAAACAATATGCTTTGTTTGTAAGGAAAATGAAAAGGTTTATGCGGAAGAACAACTTCTAAGACTTTCAAAGATCATCAAGCCGAAGGCAACAAGAAAGATCTCTACTTCTACTAAGACAAGAAACAATGGATTCCCAAATGCTGTGCTACAACTGTCGAAGGCCTGGACATTTCAAAGCAAATTGTCCACACCCAATGGTCAGCAAACATCAGGACTCTGGTGTGATAAAAAGCACATCAAAAGAGAGCAGCGAGTCCATCAAACGAAGCGACAAACCAGAGTCATCGAACTCAAGAAACGAGAGAAAAAGAAAAGCAATGGGCGTAAATGAAACATGCGAAAACATAGAGACCGAGAGCAGTTCCTCAAGCTCTAGCTCAGATGATGATAGCGCTGAAGAAGAAAAGGGACTGATGTGTTTGTTCAGCGAGGAAGAAGAATCAAATGAAATGTGCCTCATGGCTCAAGATGAAGAGGTAAAACAGGTCATATGGTATGTAGATAGTGGATGCTCAAGACATATGATCGGCGACAAAACAATTTTGAGAAATTATGAAAAATTGATGGTCCAAAGGTGATCTTTGGAGGAGAAACGAGTGGGAAAACTCGTGGCACTGGAGACATTGTCAAGAATGGAATAACAATTCAAAGTGTCTCGTATGTGGAAGGGTTGAAATTTATCCTACTAAGCACAAGTCCGTTTTGTGACAAAGGCTACAATATTGAATTCTCCAAAGACAAATGCAACGTCATCAGCACGAGAGATGGTGAAACCGTTCTCACAGCCAAGCGAAAGAAAAACATGTACGTTGTATCTTGGGATTTATTTAATGCTAATGTTTGTCTTGTTGCAAAGAGCAATGCAGATCTAAGCTGGGAATGGCACAAAAAGATGAGCCACTTGAATCTAAAGACCATCAACAAACTTGCAAAGAAAATTCTAGTAGCAGGTCTACCAAAAGCAACCTACGTTAAAGACAAAACTTGTGAGGCTTGCCAAAAGGGAAAGCAAATCAAATCGTCATTCAAGTCTAAAGAATCAGACATAAACTCTTGCCCATTGAGCTTGCTACATATGGACTTATTCGGACCAGTAGACCCTGCAAGTCTAAGTGGACGAAAATATACTCTGGACATAGTAGATGATCACACGAAATATACTTGGACATTATTCCTGAAGAAGAAGAATGAAACAGAAATCGTCTTGCCTGATCTCCTGAGGCAACTTCAAACTGAAAAGGAAGTCAACATAATAAGGATTAGATCGGATTAGGGAACCGAATTTGTAAACAAAGTCATCAAAGACTTCTGTGGACAAAATGGCATATTTCACCAACTCTCGGCTGCATGAACTCCACAACAAAACGGAGTTGCCGAAAGAAGAAACAGAACCTTGAAAGATGCAGCACGAACAATGATTGCACATTTGGGTCTGCCTAAACGTTTTTGGGCCGAAGCTATAAATACAGCTTGCTACACGCAAAATCAATCCTTGATCAACAAAGTTCACAATCTGACTCCATACGAATTATGGAAAGGTAAGAAACCTGTTATTAGTTACTTTCATATCTTTGGATGCAGTTTCATTCATAACAACGGGAAAAATCATCTAAGAGCTTTTGATGAAAGAGCTGATGGAGGACTATTTATGGGATACTCTTCGGTCAGCAAAGCCTACAGAGTTCTTAACAAAAGAACGATGGTCATAGAAGAATCTATACATGTTAAATTTGATGAGCAAGCCGAGAAAATCCATGTTGAGATGAATAAATCAATTGCACAAAGCTCAAACACTCAGGAAAGCATAACACTTGAAGAAGAAGACTCAAATTCTCAAAATCATCTCCCATCTTACACGAGATATCAATCAAATTCTACGCATCCTAAATCTAGAGCTCAAACTGATGAAGGAACACAAGTCACTGACCCAAATATTCAATCTACCTCAGAACCAATGATATATATTGATCTACCCTACATTCCTGAAATGAATGGTCAAAATCAACAAACATCGTTTGAACCAGATCTAAGATGGCTAAGAGACCATCCACCCGATCAAGTCATTGAAAACATACAAGAAGGAGTAAGAACTAGAGTCTCTTTACACGAAAACATGATGGCTTGCTTTCTTTCACAAATGGAACCAAAATCTATTGAAGAAGCTCTACGTGATCCATATTGGGTCATAGCTATGCAAGAAGAACTTCATCAATTTGAACGAAACAATGTATGGGAACTTGTTCCGAGACCCACACATCAAAATGTCATTGGAACTAAATGGGTATTCAGAAACAAAATCAGTGAAGATGGTCTCATTGTTAGGAACAAAGCTCGACTTGTTGCTAAAGGTTACTGTCAAGAAGAAGGTATTGATTTTAATGAAACCTTCGCCCCAGTTGCTAGGCTTGAAGCAATAAGAATGTTTCTAGCCTATGCAGCATACAAAGACTTCAAAGTCTACCAGATGGATGTCAAAAGTGCGTTCTTAAATGGTCTTCTAGAAGAAGAAGTATATGTATAACAACCACCTGGTTTCGCTATCAATTGTGGACAAGAAAAAGTATATCATCTCAAGAAAGCTCTATATGGACTAAAACAAGCTCCACGAGCTTGGTATGAAACAATTTCGTACTTTCTCATAAATTTTGGTTTCACGAAAGGAGCTGTTGATAAAACACTCTTTCGGATTAAAGACAATGATCACGTATTATTAGTCCAAATCTACGTTGATGATATCATTTTTAGAAGTACAAACCCAGATCTGTGTGAAAAAATTTCAAATCTCATCCAAGGAAAATTTGAAATGAGCATGATGGGAGAATTAAACTATTTTCTAGGCTTGCAAGTCAAACAATGTCCAGAAGGGGTATTCATCAATCAAGCCAAATATACAAAGGACTTGATTCGTAAATTCGGAATTGATGGAAAGTCCTTAGTCAAAATTCCCATGAGTATATCCTTGAGAATGGATATTGATAACGAAGGGAAAGATGTTGATCAAAAGAATTTTCGTGGAATCATTGGATCTCTTCTATACCTAACAGCAAGTAGACCTGACATTTCTTTTGCTGTTGGGGTATGTGCAAGGTTTCAATCCAAACCTAAAGAGAGTCATCTAAGTGCTGCTAAAAAGATCTTAAGATACCTGAAGGGGACCCAAAGTGTAGAACTTTGGTACCCGAAAGGAAACTTTTTTGATCTCGTTGGCTATTCAGATGCTGATTTTGCTGGATGTAGAATTGATCGAAAAAGCACCTTAGGAACCTACCAGTTCCTACGGGGAAGACTTGTATCTTGGTTTAGCAAAAAGCAAAACTCAATTGCAACTAGCACTGCTGAAGCCGAATACATTGCCGCTGGCAGTGGTTGCGCACAAATCTTGTGGATGACTCACCAATTAAAAGATTATGGCGTAATAGCTCGAGAAGTACAAATAATGTGTGACAATACAAGTGCAATAGCCATTACACACAATCCTGTTTTACATTCTCGAATGAAACATATTGATATCAAGTATCATTTTATTCGTGATCATGTTGAAAGAAAGAACATATCCCTTGAATATGTCAATACTGATGATCAATTAGCAGATATTCTTACTAAACCACTCTGTGAGAATAGATTTGCCACACTTCGCCATGAAATCGGGATGATTGAAATGACCTAACATGTTTGCGTGTTAAGAGGATCGCGCCCAAAAGATTCCTGAAACGATTCTATAATGAAGATCCTGGGAAAGAAAAAAGGAAGATTTAGTACTTGAATTCAAAATATTTTGCAAATATCTTCACGCAACATTCACTTTTTGCACCTATAAAAGGATTTTTTCTTCAACGAGATATGCTCATCCTTACCCACTAACATTTTAGTGTTTTTGAAGTGTTGTTTGCAAGAATGAATCAAGACAAAGGTAAAGGACGAATGGATGAAGTAGAGAAACGAGCCATTCGACGAGATCATCATCTAATGGAAGCTAGCAAACTCACAAACGCTACAGTCATAAAACTGGAAGAAGATGGTGATAGAGTAAACGTCACATACTCTCTGCCAAACACAACCAGCAAAGAAGATAAGGAAATCTTGGACAAAACTGTCATGGAGTCTCAAGCAAAAAGAGCATATCATCTGGAACAAGCCCGAAAATTGGCAAATGAAAGGATAATGATCTTAAAAAGTGCTCATGGAAATTCATCTAAAGGATCTCCATCCACCTTTTGTTGGTACCCTATCTCTGATGTTCCTACAAAGGGTGAAAAATCTTATGAAGATTTTTCTCTTGCTCACACTCAGTCACCAAGCGGATTACTTGAGCCCACCCTCTCACTTGAGGAACTGGACGAATATGCAAAAACGGCCAGCATCTCCGAAAGGACTGATGAGACAACTCGCCTGGAACTTCACATGCCTTATCGTTTTCTTTAAAGCATTAATCGTATCTATCTCCTATGTTTGGCATGGTTATCTGCGTTCTGGTTTCTTTTAATAAAGGTCTATGCTACTGGGTATCAGTAATAATGGTCCTCTTGACAAAGTCCTCAAATTGCTGAAAAGTTGCCCTATTGGTCAAAGATCATCTTATTTACTGAGTTGGCATCTCATAAATTGTTCAATCACGAACTTGAGAGTTACACGGAATTTTATAGTCTTAAATCTGATGATACTAATAAGTTACAAAGTTCACGGGAATTAATTTTTCTGAACTTGTTGTCCAATACAAAAAGGACACGTCGTCCATGGTCTTGATTAACATTAAGACTTCATCCAAGTTATCTGGACCTCATTGAAAACGATG